CAAAGGGTTTATGAAAATTTGAAAAAAAAACAAATCATAGAAAAAAAACCCAAAAAAGTTTTTACTTAATAAAGTTTGATGCTTTTATTGTTGGCCCTTCCCCCTTTTTAAATTTTTTTTTGTTTTTGTTTGGTTTTGATTGGGGATGTGAAAGATTTATTTAAATTGGGAAAATGGGTTTTTATTTATTTATTTATTTAAAAAACAAAAATTTTTTAAAAATAATTTTATAATTATATCAAAAAAGAGGTTTTTCTTTGTTTTTTAAATTTGTATTTTTCAATAATTATTTTTGGTTATAACCGAGAAAAAAACAAAAAATTTGAAAATTAATTCAAAATTAAAATTTGTATTTAAAAGGGTTACCACTCTTTTGAAAGAGGAAAAAAACTTAAAATTTTTTTTTATTTTAAAAAAGTTTTTCTTTTAAAAGATTATAAAAAAATGGGCAATTTCTTAATTTAAAGGTTTATTTGTTAAAAAAACATTAAAGAAAAAAACAGGCATTTTAATTTTTTGAAAAGGAGCTTTTAAAAGTAACCCAAAAAATAAAATTTTTAAAATTCCCTTTGGGGAAAATTTGGGGGAGATTTTAAAAATTTAATGGGGTACATTTTTTGTATTCGAGCTTGCTAAAAAAAATGGCCCCAAAAAAAAGAAAAAATTGTTTTTAAAAATCAAAATGTAAAGGGGGGTTTTAAAAAAAATCCGGAAAACCTTTCCCCGTTTTGCTTTTCGGGGCGTTTTTTTTTCTTCCAAAAAAAGGGCAACATTTTTTATAAAAACTTTAAATTTTTTTAAGGTAAATGCGTAAGGGGGTTTTCCGTTAAAAAGTAATTCCAAAAGGAAAAAAATTTTTTACCCGCCTTTTTTTTTTATAAAAATTTTTTTAAAAAGTTTCTTCTCTTTTTTGCTTCCTATGAACCCGACAAATTTTCTTGGTTTTCTGACTGGACACATAATACATATATTTAAATTTTCCCTTTGTTAAAAGAAAGAGGTCAGAGCCATTGACACGGCACTTTTGGGGTTCCCCTTGCTATTTTTCGTAAAAATTATTTAAAAAGGGAGCTTAAAGTGGAGTACCCAAAAAATTTTATTCACCCCTTAAATCTTAAAAAACATAATTTTTAAAGTTTTCTTTTTAAAAACGGGGAAGGATCAAAAAAAATATTGGCCCAATTTTATAGTAAATTATACTGTTTTGAAAAATTTTAAAATTTTTCAACTCATAAAAATGGAATCAAAATTGTTTTATTTTTTCATTGTTTTTTGGCACAATTTTTTGAAAACTTGTTTGGGAAACAAATTTCCCCCCATTTTTTTTTGATTTTATTTTTTTTTAAAAAATTGTTATTTTGTTGAAATATTTTTTTTAAATTTTTTTTTCAAAATTTAAAGTAAAATTTTTATTAGTATTAAAATAAATTTATTCCCCGTTTACTGGGTTTCCATGCAGATCGTTTCGCTATCGACTACCGAGTTTGGGAAAAAATACTACACCGCTAAAACCCCCCTTCCCCCAGGATTTGTTGGGGAAATTGGGGTTTAAAATTTAAAATAATAGTCTTTACAAACGTTCCTTCTTTCCCGGGTCAAACCAAAAGATATTTTTTCTCGATTCAAAAAAGAGGTAAAATTTTGAATTTTGTTAAATAAATTTGTTAAACTATTTTTTTATCTTCAGAAGCATTTTTACAACACTTTAAATATCAATTTTCCCCCTTTTACATTTTTTATTTACCCTATTATATATAATATCGGCCCAAAAAGGTAAAACAATTAAAAAAAATAGCCTTAAAAACCAACCCTTTTACCAGAAAAAAGGGGGCATAACTTTAAGGGTGTTAAAAATTGATTTATATATTCAAAACCCCAAAAACCAGTAAGCTGAGAAAAGTATTTTTTGTCTAAACCGGCTGTTTTTGATGATATTCTAATATGACAGACAGACAGATTTAACCCTAATCCTAAGATTTAAGATTTAACCCTTATCCCAAGATTTAATTGTCAAGACCAGCTCCTTAAATTGAAGTACCAATAATTACATATGTTTGAAAAGGACAAGACAAAGAATATCAACAAAATATGGAAAACTGAACAACTCGTTTTGTAAAATCATCCTTATAGTATTCTAAATATTGTGATATCAATATTGTTGTTTTCCTGACAGACTGATGGGTTTTTGGACAGACCATGGTTATAATCCTCCCATATGTAGCAAGAGCAAACATGGATGGTACAGACGTTTAAGGCAAAATCATTAACAACGGTTCTTTGTCTGGCCAAAGGTCTTGGCAATTTGATTACAAAAGGTTATAATTTATATTCACTGTACCAATTTTATTAAAGCTATATTGGATTCCCCTATTTCTTTTTCAGAATTATCTTAACTAAAAAATAGGAAAGAATATCATTTGTTCATTACCTAAACAAACGGAAAACATGACTCACTTAGTCAATAAACTTATTACAAATCAATTTTTAAGTTTGTTTCAAAATGTTTAGTAATTACGTTATTTAATTAAACGTCTTGGTACCGGATTCGATTAGGAAGAGAAAATATTCTTTAGACATTAGTTCCATCTTCATTTAGTTTAAGGGGGATTAAATGTTTCATTATTGGTTATATGAATTTGTTTTTTACTCCCCTTTAAAAAAAAGAAAAGGGGTTTTACTTTTTGTTTAAAAAGAAAATTTTTTAAAAGTTATTATTTAAAGCAATTATCAGACCTTTTTTTAATGATTTCATTTTGCCCAAAAATTTCATTACAAACAGTTAAAATCAAACGTGAATCATACAAAAAAATTTTTAATGTCAAAAGAACTTTTTTAAAAAAAATTCAATGTGTATTGAAAAAAATAGGAACCAAATTTTCCCCTAAAAAACCCGGAAAATGTTCAAATGGTTTTCACAAAAAAAATTTAAATTTTTAACTTTTTGTTAATAATTGGGAAAGATTTATTAATGACGGAGGAAAAATTTTTTAATGAAAAAAAAAAATTTCAAGTTTAAAAACCTTAGCCCAAAATAACTCCCCAAAAAAAAATTTAAAAAACATTTTTATATCATTTTCTAATTTTGGTTTCCCCTTTTTTAAAAAATTTTTTTTCTATTGAAAAGGGCAAAATTCTAAATTAAAAATGAAATGATTTGGCTACAAATATGTCAAAGTTTATTTTCTAAAAAGAAAAAACTCCTTATTTTTTGAGTTTTTAAAAAAAGTCATTTTTTATGAACTTTTTTTAATATTCCTTTTTTTAAATGCTTTAAAAAATGCTTCTTTTAATTTTTGTTTTTAGCTAAGTATGTACTAAACCGGTTAAAAAAAAAAACATTAAAATTTCAAAAAGCCATTTTCCATTTGGGGGTTTGCACGAACCATTTTACAGACAGGGGTTCCAAACTTATGGATATAAAAATTTCCTTTGGGGATTATAAAGTATTTTCACGCCGGGGAAAGACCCTAATTGTTTGCAAAATGTTATGCTTTTTTTAATTGAGTTCCTTTTCTTTATAAAATTAGTACATGATAAAACAATTTTAATTTTTTAAAAAAAATAAAAAAATGACAATACTTTAAAATTGCCTGAAAAAAATAAATTTTTAAAAATGAATTTAAATTTATTTCAGGGGGCCCCCCTAAATTTTGTATCAAAATTTCCCAGGAATGTTTGACAAATTTTTTATTTAATGTTTTAAAAAAAAATTAATTTTTAAAAATTAAAAACTTTCCCCTTAACTTAAAAAATTAAATTTCTTTTTTTGTTTTATCTTTTTAAAAAAACATGTAATTTCTGAAGTAAATTGAAAATTGGGAAAGTAAGAATTTTTGTTTTTTTATAAAGGGACCCTTTTAAATTTTATACTTTTAATTTTTCCCCCAAACAAAGACAGTAATTCAATTGATCAGCCTAATAATTATTTTATATTTAGGTATGGTTTCCAAATTTCCAAAGACAAACCCTTCAAGTGTTATTAAAGTCGGGGTTACAAGCCGGAATTAGAAGATGGATCGATAGCGCACTTTTATAGTTCAATGCCTTTGAACCTCACGTAAGTTTCATTTTTCTTTACTTGGGCTATATTGTCTTACATGTAAATATAATTAAATGTAATCTGTCAAATTTCAAACTTTCAGGGAATATAACGAGATAGGTATCAATAAGAACATGTATAAATTACATTATTTTTTCCCATTTTTAAAGTTCATGGCATTTCTTTTAATGTTGTGTATTGATGTTTCACATTTGAATATTGACAGAATCAGCTGTCTGCTCTAAGAATAATGGGCGTGGTCCATGCAGTACATTTTGTCTGCCAAAAAATGACGGATACAAGTGTGCATGCGAAGACAATGTAGCACTTAGAAGTGATGGCAAAACATATGTGAAAAAGGTTTTTGTATTTCTTTAAAAACATTTTAGGTTTATTACTGAAGCCCAAAAAGAGTGGCCCGGGGTGCCGCGGGTTAAGGTCGGGCTAGTTATTTAAAATTTTCTGCCCCCTGTTTCAAACCCCGTCAGGGCAAGCCGTTTTTTTCCTTCAGGAAAACACTTTTCAGCCATTGCTTAATACTGGTTGGTTCCAGGAACAGATTCAAGAGTGTTTCGATAAGATGTACGATTTCTTCTTCAAGGTTTGGTTTGTATTAAAGACCAGATGTACGTACTTGAATTAGACAAACCATAATAAAAGAATAAATGTTAACTTATCACGATTCTTAGGACAAATATTCCTTAGCTACCATGTTCTTAGGTATTAGATAATGATTTATTAAGACCTAATATGTTTGAAAATATATATTTAATCATAACACAACAATGTTTGAGAGCACTAGTTTATTGTTGTATTTTTTAATTGAATGTGTATAACACTTTACTCTTTCGGATAATCAAGTGTTAGAATGGATATCGAAATATCAAATCTTTCATGTACATAATGGTTATCGAGGTAACAACTATACATGTTCAGAAGATTGTTGTATCTGTTTATATAGTTGAACTGCGGACAACAACTACACCTACTATTCCTACTACTCCTCCCACTACTACTACACCTACAACTACTCCTGCTCCTACTACTACAACTACTACTACTAAACCACCAGAACATTCAACTAGTTTCCCAAAAACTACATCTTCATTGGAACTGCCAACGACTTCGCCAAGTCCAAAGGGACCAATATCTTCACCAAAAGCGACCCCGTCAACATCCAAACCGAAAACGCTACCAATTGCGGCTATTGGTGGGGGCACTGGCGGGTCTGCAGTCGTGATCATTGTCATAATTGTCCTAGTTTGTGTTATCGTTAAAAGGTAAATATTGTTTTAAGAATTATGTTGCAAATTCCACTGAGACATTTGTTTTGTTTTAAAATGATAATTAACTTTCTTTAAAAAGTTCAAATTAGGTCTGATATGTTTTAGTTTAATTGATCATATATAGAGGATATTGAATGAGTGTAAGTTCAATACTGACTTTATTGCACGAGTTGAATAAAATTATATTATGCTCACCAGAGGCTCGCATAATATTATTTTGTTCAACGAGTGCAATAAATTCAGTTATGAACTTACACGAATTTAATATTCTATTTATCACATACCCAAATAAAGACCGTTTAAAGTGAAATAAGAGTCATTTTTCATTGACGCGCCTTTAGTAAAGCGCTAACATTTAGCGCGTCTTTACACTATGTTTGTATAATGCTAATGGCGTCATGTCAAAATATATGCACGGCCGTGCAATACCATTTTTACAGAGTCGCAAAATCGGCACGGGTGTGTGATAAAACCATCTTCTTAATCCATTTTTGGTAAGACGATGAATTAAAGAATTACAAGGTTTTCTATAGTAAAGTCAGGTGTGTGAATGATTCCATTTTAAGGATGAACGTAGTATATGAATCATCATTATTTCTACGTTGTAACTCTTTCTGTCACTCATTATCATTATATTTGAGAAGAATTATTTCTCTTGACTTTGACATAATTATATCATTTAAACAGGCGCAACAATAGTGGAAACAAAGGCGGTGACAGTGTGACTTATAATCATTTTGCTTCTGACATAGCCTATTTGACACCGCCTGCTGATAGCCCAAGCAGACCCGATTCAACTTATGATGTTATAGGCGGCTTTGATGAGCTGGAAAATAAGAAAGTAAGTATGTTATAAGTGGTCTAATTTAATAAGAGATAACAAATAAATTTAGCTTTAATACACCCTAACATAAGTATTCTCTCAAATCACCTCATAGCTCAGCTGTATCGTTTTTCATTTGCTATTTATAGCTTTTTCAAAATAGATACATTAGACGCTGATAAAAAAATCTACGTTTAAATAACTGGAAGTTTAAAGTCAGTTTTTGACAAATGTATTACTAAATGATGATCAATTTTATTTTAGAATCAAGAGAGTGAATGCACGAGCTTGGAAAAGAAACAGAATGAGTATGAACAATTAAGCTTCAAGAGAAAAGACGTTCCAACAAGCGAGTTTAGACCATCTGCAGTTCCAAACGTATATGCAGGCATGCATGAGTCTACAATAATTACAGGTGATGTACTGCAAGATGATTACTTGCAGCCATTTCATGCCAATCCAAGTTTCTCCTCCGATGATACCGACTTCAATAACCCTGTTTATTTAGATGAATAGAAGTATCACAAACCCAAAACTCCAATTTTCTAACATCAACAGATCTACAGCAAATAATAAACACTGGAATCGCGAGTTTTGAGCCCTAGTTCGAGTGAAAATGATATTGTTTATAACTACTTTTTGTCATAGGTCTCTCGAGGTCCAGGGACAAATGAAAACAATGTGTATACACTGAAATTTTACACGGTATTAAATTTGCCTGAAGTCAGTGACGTAATTGTTTGAATAATCTTGATGATATTCTGAAAGTACTTAATCGGATTAAATCATGTTGAAGCGAATAGTAAATATATTAACAACTGTATAATTAAACCAGTTAACAAGGTGATGTTTTGTTAGGGAACTTTTTATTCTCTTACCATATGAACTTGTGTTAGTTAACTAGGAAAATCAGATACAGATATTGCTTAAGCTTTATTCTTCAGTAATACCCTAAATGGTATGAAAAGAACATTTCACTGCAGTAATTATGTATACATTTTGTACATTTTTTTATTGAAAAGCCCTTTCATTATAAATAGCAAAGAAGGTTGATTTAAACATAGTTTTCACTTTGTATTGTATATTTAGGTGTATGAATGAACTTTACCAAACACACACTTTGGTTATTTTACCAATCTGTACACTTGATTTTTAACCTTTGTTTATACTTGTAAATGTTTTATTGACATTTCAAAACAGTTTAAAGATCAATGTTTAAATCAATGGATGACTTTTTTCTCTACGTAACGATATTTCTGTTACCTTCAATTATATTGATGATACGAGTGTAACAATTAAACTCCTTATCAAAGCAATTATATATAGCACAAATGATAAGTTAGAAGGATTGTTACTTTCACGATCGGATCTTCTAGTCTAATATTCCGATCGTGTCATATTTTACTAGTCTGAGATTCCATTCTGTTTATCCAATTCAAGGTACATAATGCCTCAGAAACAAATAAATTTTATCTTCTTTTGAAAGGACAAACATGAATCTTGTTACCTGAAAAAATAGCGATAAATGTGAAATAACTTGTCATAAATGTATCAAAATGAAAACAAAATAGTTCTTGACTTCAGTACAAAATACTCATTTAGTTAAATTATATTTATTGTCAAAAAGCAACAGGTAAAAATAATGGTTCGGGTGATTGGCCAATGAGTAACTTTTATTGATACTGTAAAAGTACAAGAACATTAAAAAGCTTTGAGACATAAACATAAAGAATTTTTTGAGGTATGATGGACCTTTAAGAAATGAATGTTATTATTGAGCATGAGATTCATTTTGAACAATGTAACGTACATCCTTTATGGTTTATCTTAACTGACATGTCGTTTGAACTATTCGGAATCTTTTTGTAATATAACGGGATCTTTTTAGTAACATTATTTTCAGAATGTTGTATATAATTTCAAAGACTATATTCAAATGTTTGAGATATTATGAAAAGTGTTGTGATTTTTTTTGTAATATAAATGGATCTTCTTTGTAAGACGTTTTTAGAAATTTGTATATAATTTGAATGTGTATGATCCAAGACTATACATGTATTCAAATGTTTGAGATGTAAATATATATGTTGTATATGTACATGTACATTGGTCGTCTTTGTGAACTTTATGGAACAAGAATGCGGTGTATTTATAATGCTAATAAAATCAAATGTAACCGTACGGTTGTTGTTTTGTTTTTCTATATTAATTTTGATAATTTCTCCTTTTCGTTTACAGATATTTTATATAAAGAATAAAATGTATATTCTTCTGTACATAAATGCTTCAAAAGAGAGAAAAAAAATAAATGCTTAAAAAGACTTTAATACAAATGAGGATAACGCTCAGTAGATCAATAGTTCTTTTTGTCAAGGAAATTATACTAAAATTTGTGTTTACAATTTTAAAGTTCGAATTCAGCTGTTATTTGGCTGCCATAAATTCAAGATATACCAGTTAATAACAAAATACCTTAACACCTGATTTATAGTTTGAAAACAATTCAAATATATTCCGTATATCTTCAACAATTTGACAATATCTTCTTGTTATATTATATTGTAATAAACAGATTGAATCAATTTAAAAGGGGCGGTGACCGAGTTGTTAAGGTGTTCGTTTCTCAAACTACAGATAATGGCTTTGTGTCATGACCATATTGCCTTAAACCTGTTGACACCAGTATTGAGAACTTCAAGCTTTTATCATAATCAAGCTAAAAATAGGTTTAACCAAAACTTAACAATTCTCCTTTTTTCTTCAACAAATGTCCAATGATTATTTAAATGAACTACAACACATTGGCACGTAAACGCCAGAACTCATCATGTTATTTAAATCGATGAAAATCTATAATTCGTAGTTTGATGATAAACATTCGTAACAGAAGACTGTCTGAAAGGAAAATATGTATCTAAAGCATTGAGCGAAATTGTAAGTTTTGACTGTTCTGTGTACTGATATGTCAAGTCAGAAACTTACATTACTCCTGAATACTATGAGACATGAAAAACACACCACCGAAAGTTATCTTTTACCAAAAAAAGTTTTCTTTTTGATACTTACGGCAAAGGTATAAGCGCATCTCAATTACAAATTTTATGCATACCATATTTACAAAATAAAAATGCGTTTTTTTCTATATTAAGCTTTTTTATATTCTTTAAGGGAGAACAAAGATCAACCAGGCAATAAGGCAGTGCGATATTCACAGACAATCTAGTCACGTAAGGCATGTCAATAACTAATAATACTTGTAAAACGTTACCTTTATAATCAAATTAATATGAAATCATGAAAAAGCTAACCAATCTATTATATCCCGGTGTTATTTGACTTATATTTCATTTACATATTTTTAATTCACTATTTTTTTTTATTATTTTCTTTTGAAAAGCATTAAATCATAAAATTGTATTAACAAATCCTCTGGTGAGCAGTTCATTTTACAATTAATCCGCATTGCTCAGTAGATGACATTTTTAATCTATATTTTGAAATCCAGTTTTGTGTAAAAGTTATCATCATCTTACACATTAAAAATACCTTCTTATAATTTTACCAACCGTACTAAGAGCCCAATTTCCTCTACGCACGTTTTAACAATAATTTAATAGTAAAGGATAAAATTAACTTAAAGCTATAAAGTTTTGTATTATCCCTTTTCCTTTTTATCTAACAGTGAATTATTTACCTCACGGATACAATAATATCTTTTTCTATCAATTGACAGCTTAAGAGCCGTCAAATTTTTCAATTTTGTCGTTTTGGGCGTTATTTGAGTATTCCGTTTTCTTTACGTTATTGTATACAAATGTATTACAATTATTGCTGATAGTATACTTATATATATATGCCATACTTATATATGTCTTCAAGAGTAGTTTCGCCAGTGGGGAAAAGTGTAATTATCAGACTGGTACGAAGCTAACCAAGTTTTATAGAGACTAAGTTTGGTGATGACACGAAGTAAGATTTATCTCATTGTAATTTTAATCATTAATCGCTTCCAACTTAGTTTTGCTTAAATCATGTTTTAATATTCTTTTTTGGTAGTTAAATTTCAGCTTTCGAGTTAAATATTTTACAACATGTGTATATATATTGCACCTACATTGAATGACACCATAAAGCCGTTTTTGATAAGAATACAAGTGTGAAAGCATTGATTTTATATTGGAATGATGCAAAAAATATTTACTGCTAATTTTCCTTCTCACCAACTTAAATACTTTTTTAATTCTTTAACCGACAATTTACTGTTGCAATTGTGTATCAAACTTAAAAGAATAAGATAAATGGCAACAAAAAGAAACAAAAGCGATAGTATACTATTTGTATGTGTTCCATGCGTTTTTTTTGAATTCTTATTATAATCGTAATTCTTCTTCCTTTTCTTCTTTTTTCTTCTTCTTCTTCTGTGTTCTTCTGTGTTCTTCTTCGTTTTCTTCTTCTTCTTCTTCTTCTTAATATTTATTATTATCATTATTTAGTTTGAAGAATTACGAACTTCAGACTTTGTGTAAAGACATGTTCAAGGCGTTTGATAAGTTGACGTAAGTTCGAGGACGGTAACAGACGCTGTATTGTGTAATAAATTGTTTACAAATATTAACACGATGGAGACGCACGTTCACTGTGTTATTTTATCATGTTTTCACTTATGCTATGAGTAGTACACAACTAAGTTGTTATGTTTGTTTTTAAATAATTATTACTTTTTTACAACTTGACAAGTGAACAATAGGAGTTATTTCTTTCTATTACATGTTCTTGTTGCCTGTTAATTACACAGACACTTGGGGTGTGAAGCTTAAAACGCCTTTAAAATCCAAATAAAATGTATATTTGTCAATCCCAGCGCATGTACTGATCATATATATAAAAAAATTAATATAAGCCGTTTTGAAAAAAAAATCAAATTTCAAAGTTTATAATAATACACAAGATAAAAATGTTCGCCGGAAAAAATCCGCACACCTACCGTCAACATCGACGGTTTCAATCGAGCAAGTGTCCCAAACCGAATAACAGCCTAAGAAATAGTACATGAATTTGATCTTATGAAACTTCCATACTTTGTCGGGATATCTTAAAAACTTCCATATTTAGCCTTTTCATTTTTAAATTAAGTTATCCAAGTTAAAATATGAACGTATTTGATTGATAAAAACGCTGTAGCACCGTAGTATTCTTGTGCAATATGCAAATAAGTGCTGAAACGATTTACCGCTGTCGAAACAATAGGACAGCAAATTATGCTATAATTATGGAGTAAGCTCAATATATAATTCCTACAAATTATAAGTAGGAAATAAATATTTCTCCATTTTCGTGACTCAGAAATTCTAGAATATCTCGCGCAATAATTACATAATTTTCTAGGTCACGATATGAGATAACCTGCTAATGTGATTTGTGAGATATTATAATAGCCTTCGATATGGGATAACACTATTCTAAAAATAGATTTTACCAAATCACCGCTACATCACCTGTGCTGGCTTAGGTATTACACATTATACATGTAACAAGTTAAATGTTGATGCTGGACATCAAAGACGCCGCCAAATGATGTGAACAGTCAATCAGCATTGAAAATGGTTCTCTATTACAGTTGAATATCCGAAGCACAAATCATTTTGTTTCTCCATGTTCTTGGAATGTGCTCGTTGTTTATAATAATGTTGCATATTTTTGTTAAAAGGTAGAACCTAATGCATAAATTCACAAAGTAATGCCATGTCTGAAATTCTTAAATGTTTTCGGTTGCGATAAAGATTGAAACGTCTGGTCGAAGCAAAATTAATTAGATAACAAGTAAAATGGAAATGATTGGTATACTTAAAATGAATTCAAGACAATAATTATGTGCCGAGAATATATCCAATTAAATATTGCTACGAATTGCATAATGTTTGAATGATTTTGAGGACGAACTGTCAGCAGTGATCTCCCCTTACTGGCCGTAGCGGTTGCGGAAGATCCGCCTGTCTGATTGGTGCGTGGTCCGCCTGGGCTCCTTGCCAATGGTTCTTGTTGCTGGGTCATATGGGGGTTGCGTTCATTGAACGCCGCCTTTCCTTGTTGATCTTGTTTTTCATATTTTAGGCTTTGTGACTTGTAATTTAATGATTCGACAAGTGATATTGATCAAAGTTGTTTGGTTCCCTTCTGCCCCGTCAACGAAGACTAAATGCTAGCATACACAGCATCATTTTAATTTTTGTGACATTTTAAGGCGGAGCCGAACATCAACAGAGGCGGAGCAAATGAAGTAAGTGTCACTGCCCCAGTCGTCTTTCAACTCTTAAGGTTTAGAACGATCGACTACAGACTGGCTCATTGGCACGTTATTTATTATGTAGATAAAATTAGGTAATGATAAAAAGAATATGATATTCAAACATGGCAAATTATCTTTTCAGTTAGACGTTTATCCAAATCCCTTAAAGCTCCGTGACATGTTGTACATCAGAAAAGCTATTTTTTATTAGAAAATTTGAGAACAGTGTGATTTTGTTAAAACAAAAAAAATTAAACAAAATCAAGGCTAAAATTTTCCCCATTGTGTATGGACAAATGCATATCTACTAGACGCCAATTGCAAGCGGCGTCTAATAAATCAGCGGATACTTACTTTGTTTACATGCAACTTCAAGAAATTTTATTCAATTGTAAGAAACAAACAAGTTGAAAATGGAATTTAGTGTGAAATTAAAGGGGACAACTTAACACTGTAGTGCTTAAGTGGCATTTATATTAAAATTAAAACGATGTGCTCTGGCCTCTACATCTTGTAAATGAAAAAAATATATAAAAAATACACCATTAATTGCTGATGGTTTTATGCCAACTATGATATAACACGAAGCAATTCTTATTACCATTCTCGCATTATTATGTATTATGCTTGAAGTTTATTTGCATGTTTTTATTTTAGAAATATTTTGTTGACATTTCTTTTTGCTATAAACAAATAAGGCGATAAGGACACTGATTTACAAAATTCTGGAAACAAAGTGATCCCTCGGAAGCATTAACCACAACAAAATTACAAGAGAATTGCAGACTCGGTTTGATTGAGTCTGTACATGAGGGATAATGAATAAGTGCAATATCTTTCACGCCCCTAGCACCGGCTTGAGCGGTACTCAATTCTCAACACTGAATAGTGCTGG